CAGGGTGTTGTCAGGGTGTTGTCAGGGTGTTATGGTGTTGTCAGTCACACCTGGAGGGGGTGTTGGGGTTGTCAGGGTGTTGTCAGGGTGTTGTCAGTCTCCCCTGGAGGGGGTGTTGGGGTTGTCAGGGTGTTGTCAGGGTGTTGTCAGTCTCACCTGGAGGGGGTGTTGGGGCTGTCAGGGTGCTGTCAGGGTGTTGTCAGGGTGTTGTCAGTCTCACCTGGAGGGGGTGTTGGGGTTGTTGGGGTCCCAGGCCCCGCTCTGGGCCGGGGTTCTGCTCCCGTCGTGCAGGGGGGTCTGGGAGCCGTAGTGGGGGGTGCGGCTTCCTGCGGGACCCCAGAAACACCGTCACCACCTCCTGTCACCCGAACCTCCGACTGTCACCCCCCAGTGTCACCAGACTGTCACACAAACCTCCCACTCTCCCCAGACTGTCCCCAGATGTCCCCAGATTGTCCCCAGTGTGTCCCCAAATGTCCCCAGACTGTCCCCAGGTGTTCCCAGGTGTCCCCAGGGTGTCTCCAGGTGTCCCCAAGTGTCCCCAAACTGTCCCAGATGTCCCCAGATTATCCCCAAATGTCCCCCAGCTGTCCCCAGACTGTCCCCGGTGTCCCCAGCTGTCCCCGGTGTCCCCTCTCACCGTCGTGCAGCGGGGTCTGTGAGCCGTACATGGGGGTTCGGGAGCCCGAGCCGTACATGGGGGTCTGCGAGCCGTACATGGGGGTCCTCCCGTAGGCCGAGGTGAGACCCCCGGGGCGCCGCGACCCCCTGTGGGGACACAACAACGGGGTCACAACAACGGGGTCAGGGGCACCCCGAAACACCCGGGGTGCTCCACACCCGGCACGGGGACACAACAACGGGGTCAGGGGCACCCCGAAACACCCGGGGTGCTCCACACCCGGCACGGGGACACAACAACGGGGTCAGGGGGACCCCGAAACACCCGGGGTGCTCCACACCCGGCACGGGGACACAACAACGGGGTCAGGGGCACCCCGAAACACCCGGGGTGCTCCACACCCAACAGGGACACAACAACGGGGTCAGGGGCACCCCGAAACACCCGGGGTGCTCCACACCCGGCAGGGGGGGCCAGGACCCGATTTGGGGGGCCAGGACCTGATTTGGGGTCTCCAGGACCCAAATTTTGGGGGCCAGGACCCGATTTGGGGGGCCAGGACCTGATCTGGGATCTCCAGGACCCAATTTTGGGGGTCTCAAGGACCCAATTTTGGGGTCTCCAGGACCCAATTTTGGGGGAGTCCAGGACCCAATTTCGGGGTCTCCAGAACCCAGTTTTGCGGTCTCCAGGACCTGATTTTGGGGGTCTTTGGGACCCAATTTTGGGAGTCTCCAGGACGCAATTTTGGGGTCTCCAGGACCCGATTTTGGGGGTCCCCAGGACCCTCTTTGGGGGTCTCCATGACCCAGTTTGGGGGTCCCCAGGGCTGTACCCCCACTCACACGGTGGTCAGGCGCTGCCTGTCCACGGAGATGGTCTGACAGGTCGAGTGCAGCTCCACGCGCGCCGTCGACTCCGTGGCGTCCTTCACCACCCCGATGTAACC